TATGCTCCTGCGAGCTCGTGACAGACGATAGTTGAAAGCGGTTTTTGCTGGTGTTAAATTTTTTCGAGCATACGGCTTAAGTAGGTAGGGTTTTAGTGGATATGCCTCATCAGCTATGAGAACATTAGGAAGTTTTTCTGAAGAGGTAGGTAGTTCGCAGTCTGGAGGCATATTGAAATTCTTGCTTTCGAGACTTGCGCACAGTGATGAAGCAGCAAACGTACCACCATCATTCTGACTGCCTTTCGCTCCAACGTCAATTGTTATGAATTTGTACTCTGGATCGGAAACACCTTGAAGGGCAACTGAGAAAAACTTCTTATAGTTAAAGATAGATAAAGATCAGATACTGGAGAAAAATGGGGTTTTCAATGAGACAGTACATCAGCTATCAAGAAAACCTATAATTCAGTTAGGAGGGAAGTATTGTATAATATTCTCATAGAGTTTGGGGCAACCATGAAACTAGTTAGGCTGATTAAAATGTGTTTAAATGAAACATATAGTAGAGTCCGTATAGGTAAACATTTGTCTGATAATTTTCTTATCCAGAATGATCTAAAATAAGGATATTTTTTTTTTATTGCCACTGCTTTTCAACTTTGCTTTAGAATTTCTGTATGTATAATATAAACTCTGTCATATATGCAACACTTTATTGTACTTCTTGTCCCCCTTCTTTCACACTACATATGTCGGCCGTAACCTGCCATCATCAGGTGTATTTCATTTCATGTAGCTGTCACACTGCACTCAATATTAACATTTAAACTCCAGATTATCAATTGTTCATTGCTCTGTCGTCAATCAACACCCAGTATTCTAGAACTCCCCTTGTCGGTTTTGTCAGTTATGTTTAAAATCTTTATTAATATTGATTCGTCGATTGGTTTGAAATTTTAAATTCACAATTTAGCTTTAATATTTAAATTTTAAATTTAAATATTGAAAATGTGACAGAGTTTAAATATTTTGGAATGACAACAAGAAATACAAACTTGATTCAGGAGGAAATTAAGAGGAGATTAAATCTGGGTAATGTTTGCTACCATTCAGTTCGGAACCTTTTATCTTCTTGTCTGCTGTCTAAAATCGCAAAAATGTGAATATTCAGAACTACAAGTATAATTTTGCCTGTGTTTCTGTCTTGGTGTGAAACTTGATCTTTGACATTAAGAAAGGAACATAGACTGAGGGTGTTTGAGAACAGGGCACTAAGGAGAATATTCAGACGAAAAAGAGATGAAGTGATGGGAGGTTGCAGAAAACTGTATAATGAAGAGCTTCATAATTTCTACCTTTGCCAAGCATAATTATAATGTTCAAGTCAAGAAGGATGAAATGGACAGGCGTGTAGCATGAATGGTAGAGAAGAGGGCTGCATATAGGATATTTATGTGAAAGCCAGAAGGAAGAGACTACTAGGAAGACCAAGATGTGAGTGGGTGAATAATATTAAAATGGATCTTAGAGAGATATAATGGGGTGTTATGGACTGGATCGATATGGCTCAGGATAGGGACCAGTTGAGGGCTGTTGTGAACATGATAATGAATTTTTGATTCCATAAATTGCTGGGAAGTTCTTGAATAACTGCATAACTGGCAGATTCTCAAGAAGGGCTCAGCTCCATGAAGTTAATTAGTTAGTTAGTTATAGTCTGAGCTACTGATTTTTTTTTCCCCCTTGGCACTACAGCCCCAGTGGGCCTAGGCCTACCTCCATGAACTCCGTTCACTTCGGTTTTTCTAGATCTTACACATATGGTAGGACTCCTTGGGTGAGTGATCAGCTTGTCACAAGGCCTCTACCTGTAGACAAACACAGAAAAATGCACACAAACATCCATGCCCTGAGTGGGTTTCGAACCCATGATCCCAGCTTTCGAGCGAGCGAAGACAGTGCATGCCTTAGACTGCTCAGCTACCATGACCGGCAAGCTACTGATAGGGTCATAAAGTAAACAAGAAATTCATTCATTCATTCTTTCATTTATTTATAGTTCCAAAAAATCCATAGAGGCATCTGCCTCAGATATAGAACAAGTCAACAATAAAATATAACATATAAATATACATACATAATCAGATAGTCATCATCGTCAAAATTTAAATACTCAATACAACAAACCTACTGTACAGCAATACATTCCATATATCAAAATAACATATAAAATTACATACACGATCAAAAGACCACCAAGATCCTTAATATAGTAATATAAGATCTATTTTCTTAATATATAATACACCTGTATCACAACAGTAATAGCACCTTTTTCCTGAGTATTTATTCCATAGTCCATTGCATTCTAGCAATAGGCAACAGTGTTTATTTAAATATACATTTTATTCATTCATTCATTTATTACAGTTAAAAAATCCACAAAGGGGTCTGCTTCAAATATAGAAGAAGTCAGCAGCGCAATATAACACATAAATATACATGCATAATCCGATAGTCATCATCATCAAAATTTGAATTACAATACAACAAAACTACTGTACAACAATACATTCCATATATCAAAATAACAGTTAAAATTACACACATGATTAAAAGACCACCAAGACTCTTAATATAGCAATATAAAATCTATTTTCTTAATATATGATACACCTGTATCACAGCAGTGATAGCACCTTTTTCCTGAGTATTTTATTCCATAATCCATTGCATCCTAGCAATAGGCAACATTGTTTATTTAAATATACATGAGGGATCAATCTTTATTCCAGCAGTAGTATTCTTCAACAGTATAAAAAGAACTGGCGATAAGAAACTTCTTTAACGCTACTTTAAATCCCGGGATGTCATAAGATAATTGTTTAAGCTCTGGAGGGAGGTGGTTATAAAGTTTGATACCAGAATACCATCCACCTTTCTGAAATATCGTTAAGTTTACCACCGGAAGATGCAAGTCATGATTAAATCTGGTATTACATGTGTGGACATCAGAGTTTGTTATATAGCAATCTCTATTCTTGACAACCAGCATAAGTAGGGAAAATATATATTGCGACTGAAGTGGCAGTATATGGAACTCCTTAAATAAATTATGGCATGAATCCACATTATGAGAATTGGTAATAATTCTTATTATTCTTTTCTGTATTTGAAATATGATTTTTGCATGAGCCGAACTCCCCCAAAATATTATGCCGTAAGATATTATTGAATGAACTAGGGAGAAATAAACAGTTTTTAGGTACTCCAAGGATAAAAGAGGTTTTAATACTCTAATTACATAGGGTGCCTTATTTAATTTGGGTATCATTTGGTCAATATGGGTTTGCCATGACAATTTATGATCAATAACCAAACCTAAAAAGTAAAACATGGCCTTTGTGTTCCTATCTTTCAATCAGTAATAACAATGTACCGCCGTGGTGCAGGGGGGCCGTGGAGGTACCCCTCCTTGCCACCACAGCTTACGCTGTAAGGAGTTAACACAATAATCCTGGCTTACCCTCAGCTAGGATGCTTCTGTTTCTGGGCTTCCTTCTTTCATAAAGCTGCCACCATCTATTTTATGTCCTAAGAGAGGTGATGAAAGTACTAAGGGCCGGTAGCGCGGTAGTCGAGCGTTCTCTGTTGGCTGGCCCTGTCATCCTTGTCACCTCTTATTATTGGCATAGAGCGGGCGTGCCGGGTCTGACCCGCCTCTACCTATCGTCTGTCATCTCTATGGTGGGAACTACCCCATATTATCCTCTATGTCAGGGGTGGATAGGATATCTCACCGCTGTCGCCAATTATGTCTTAGTGACGGGGGTGGGTGGAGGTCACCCGCCACTGTTACCCTTATTACGTCTTAAGGGGGCATTGATACCAAGGCTACTAAACGCTGCCTGCGTGGCAGGTGCCTATCCCTGTCCAGTAGTACCTCCCCTTAACTGTGGTTGCATTCGGCTGCTGTTGCCTTTCATTTTGGTAGGATCCGTGGGATCGGTCGTGGAAAGGTGATTATGGAGGTGTGAATCACAATCCCGGTACATCCTACTCTAACTACCCTGTCTATTTACATTATTTACAATATTAACAAGACCGACCTACAGTCGGGTCTGCATAGTGTCTTTACTTCATGCTACGCTTCCTCATGTTCTCCCCTTCAGGGATGTAGGCCTTGAGCCTCTCTTTCTCTCTGTTTCAACTAATGAGAATATGCAATTATTCCTCGTTTAACATGAACCTTTTTCCTGTCTCCATTTCCTACTACTCATTACATACTACTACACTATCCTATCGTACAGTTTCACCCTTAACATAATCTACCCTTAGTTATACATATTGAAAGCCCACATACCATGTTTATCACAAAAATCATTAGTCGTAACTATAACGCAAATGTGCGTAGTCTACGCACTACCAGTAATCTTAACACATACACCATAACACCGCCATATTGCCAGACTATCTTCCTAGGCAATTACTTGTTACATAATTATTACTCTCCCCCAAGGGCTCGCCAGGCACACTGGAGTTTGCTTTCGATATTTTCCACAACACTTATCAACAATAATATTTAACAACATGGCTTACTTACTTACGTGACTTACTTGAAATAAGAGACGTAGGCCCACTTCCTCCACTCGTAAGGCCCATATTGAATAGGGCCTCCGGCTGACAACTGGTTATTACGTGTTAGATCAGATCCCTAAGTCTCCTAAATTCGGCAATTTATATCATTAACTTGCTGAATCTGCGGTTGACAAAAGAGGGAGGTTAACTCCTCCTTTCGTCCTCAATTTCGGGGTGGAAGGTTTCCATTGGCTACCCCTGTGGTTGTGGGTGGGCCCGTGGTACCTCATCACTGTGTCTTTGATAATATTATTATACTCCAGTGTCCCTGCAACGCGACTTGCAGAAGTGCTATTGCGCATTCTGCTAAATCAGGCATTCTTAACCTAGATTGCCTGTCCAGGTGTTGACATACTAATGTAATTGCTGTAAAACGTTTGTCGCAAGTCTTGGAACATTTAAGCAATGTCTTTTGATTTTCAGTCTCGAATTTGTGACACAACAAACAACGTAGCTGCCTACATAATTACTGCTTTTTACTCACATCTACTTCAATTCAATTCAATTTTATTTCATCCATGAATCATTATACATGATATGGGACAAGTCAAAGATTAATATTAATACTAATACTAAATAGTAATAAGAATATAATAATACAGAAATACTTCTCCACAGCTGTTGAGAACAATGTTTCAGGTTTTGTAACTTGGCAACCATTCATTTTAAACTTTAAAATCAGTTTACCCAACTCTTCTGTCACTCCTCTCATGCTTGAAATGTTATTTCTAAAATTGGAATCTCTCTTTATCTGACCTTTATGAATCACTCCTACACAGCAGCATCAGAAACCTCGTTGCTTTATCATTCACACTATTCATTCATGGAGCCATTTACACTACACTACCCATTTTTTATTTCAACATTTCACTATAAGATTTTTCATTTATAAACTTCAGATTTCCTGAGGAGAACAGCTATCTGAGTTGTAATGCCATGCAGTCAGGAAAAGCATAATATTTTGGAGGAACATGTCACCTCCACATTCAGGATCAAGGGATAAGCTGAACAAGAAACAAGGCTTTTTCAGAACTACGTATTGTTACAGCCTAGAAGACCATAAATCTCCTAGTCTCTGTTGTGAAAACCTGAAATCCAGGATTTAGGTTTTCTGACATTGAACTTTCAGGCTTTGTGGTGATTGATTTGACACTCAAGTTAGGGTCTTCCCTCATTTCATTCAATTTCATATTTATATTCCAGTCTGATATCGGTTTATTTATGAACCAGTTATTATAACTATGCAGTATCACATCAGATTTTTTTTATCATAGACAGTCGATGAGAAAACAAACAAAGGTCTTCACAAGGCCCAGTACCGTGTTTAATCGTTTCAAACAAAATGCAGGTTAGGTATAATCTAGTTCTCAGCTTCTTAGGATAAATTGCTGGAAATGTGGCCCATAACAACATTATATAATAGCTTTATAATCATTCAAATTTTCACATCCATTTTGTGAAGCTATTTTTCTTTTCCATTTCTGCATTAGGCAGTTTATAGCTCTTACCTGTAATTTTACACCCATTTTTGTATTGAGACCAGAGAAATATTCTACTAAAGACAGGGTTCTGTTCTATGCAGATCCTATTTTTTGGCAGATTTCACTGTACTAATCAGTGTTTCAAAATACACGTAAGTGCACTTGTTAAGTTCAACTCACATCATTTAAATTATTGATCCTGTATGATCTTTTGTCAAGTTGATGATTTGTAAATAAAAAACTGCATTCCCATGTAGTATTTATGTTAGTACAGTCAGTATTTTAATATTGATTTTAAACAGAGTGACAGTAAACTGTATGTGATTTTCTAAACATTGCAATTTCTTATACATAGTATATGTGGTGTGTTTCTCTTCATCACTTGCTACATGCCCTTCTATCTAATCAAGGATAATAAGATGGACAGGGAATGCAGTATGCATGGGAATGAAGAGAAATTCATACGGAGTTTTGACAGGAAAATCTGAAGGAAATTGCCCACTAGGAACACTTAGCATAGTTGGGATGATAATATTAAAGCGGATCTTAAAGAATATGATGAGAGGATATGGACTAGATTCTTCTGGCTCTGGATAGGAACTACTGACAGACCCTTGTTAACACATTAATGAATATTTGTGTTCCATAAAATTCAGCGAATTTCTTGACTACGTGAACAACTATTAGCCTCGCAAGGAGAATTCATGTAGCTGGTTAGTTGGTTATGAACTGTGTATTAGCCTCATTACAGAGTTCACAGATAATTATTAAGTACTTTAATAGCACAGCTAATTTTATATAATGTGTTTCTGATATGTAAGTTTTATAGCAGAACACATGCTGAAGATGATTCTGCAGAACTGAGACATGTCTATAGCAGTGAACAATGAAGAAAACTGCTATAGAATACTTCTAATTGAGTACTAATAAAATCTTCTTGGACTATTGACTGTGTCAGTCCGTTAAATATTGCCAATGTTTCAGGAACCATCTAGTTCCCTATCGTTAGGGTCTGCCATCAGACCCTGATGATGGGGACAGAGATGGTTCCTGAAATGTCCATAATTTTTAATCAACTGACAGCTGATACCCAAGAAGATTTTATCAACTTCAACTCCTGTGAAAGCTTCAGGCCTTACATTGATAATTAAATAATTAGTTACTTACTCATGGAGCTGAGCCCTTCTGGAGGAGCTGCCAATTCTGCAGCTACTCAAGAATTTTCCTGGATTTTATGGAACCCAAAGGTTAATTACCGTGTTCACAAGACCCCTCCGCTGATCCCTAACCTGAGCCAGATCTATCCAATCCACACCATCCCATCCTATCTCTCTAAGATCCATTCTAATATTGTTCACCCACCTATGCCTTGGTCTTCCCTATGGTCTCTTTCCTTCTGGCTTTCCCACCAATATCCTATACGCATTCCTCGTCCCCCCCCATTCGTGCTACATGACCTGCCCACCTCATCCTCCTTGACTTGATCATTCTAATTATACTTGGAGAAGAGTACAAGTTATGAAGCTCCTCATTATGCAGTTTTCTCAAACCTCCTGTCACTTCATCTCTCTTCGGTAACTAAATAATTATTATATTCGTTAATTTTAGTGCCATGATTAATTATAGGCACACAGTTTGCTCTTAGCAAATGTCATATGTATTTATAAATGAAAGTAGTGTGTCAAACTTGGACCTTTGCATAGAGGACTGATGGAACTATTTAATTTATCATCCTGAATGTTATCCTGTTTTAATATTTTCCTTGCTACAATTTTTTGTAGGAGGTGCAAAGAAGCCTGCATCCTGTATCTGTCTACTTCACTGAATCAGACTCCAGACAAAGATGTGTTCAGAACCTGAGTAATAAAATTGCTTGTCCTCGTATTCCATATGAAATCGTCTTTGCTGTTTGTGGCTGGAATAGTAATAATGCCACTTGTTTCATTGATACATATGATGTAAGGTGGGTATTGTTTTATTGGACTGCGTTCACAACCTACTATTTTAACATTTGATAAAATTTAGAACTGTTTTGTATTTATCCAGTGAGTCATAAATATGTAACTGGAAGCCATAGTTTATATGGCTGTGTTCGGACCACTTACCTTACAAGGTCTGATATATTACACCAGCATGGCATGAATATGTACCTACTGGAAAAGTTAATACAATCATCTGTGCAGATGAAAGCCCTACTAAGTGAATCATAGCAATTTTTAAAGTCTGCCTTAAGGAATTATCTTCTTACACATGTTTTTTAATATACAGAAGACTTTTTATCAAATTATTAGTTCCTTTTATAAAAGATTTTGTGGTCTTTTGTATTGTCTACTTTTTAAGCACTTATGCTTCTTTTCCTCAAGTTGTGTTGTGCAATGTACATCTACTGACATGTTTCATATTGAATGGCTGAATGTTGGATTAATGAAGAGAGAGAGAGAGAGTATGAGTGTGTGTGTCAGAGAGAAAGAGAGATATATACATCATGTAAACATGTCAGTAAACTTCTTCCAGACAAGGTATCACATCCCAGAAAATAGTGCTTTCTTTAGTCACCAATAATGAGAATCTCAAACTGAACCACTCCTTTATATTCCAGAAGCCCTGGGTTCAAATCTTAGCTTTGACACCAACTACCCTGACTGAAATTTGTGGTGGTTTTTCCAGTCTCTTCAAGCAAACCCAGGAAAATACTAAGTCAGGCCATGACTCCTCTTTTTGCTACCATTCAACACTACGTAGGCAGGGCTACTGACAACATTATCAATAAATAAATCCATTTAAGATGTTTACATATTTGGTTGGGAGCCAGGATAGTGCAGTTGATATAGCAACTGACTATGGGCTGGATGACCAAGCGACTAAACTTTGAGTCCTGGTAGAGTCTGGAATTTTCTTGTCTCCATGTTGTCCAGACCGGTTCTGGGGCCCACCCAGCGTCCTGTCCAATGGATACCATGGGCTCTTTTCCTTTTGGTAAAACTGCCCGGCGTGAAGCTGAGCACACACCTCCAACTAGTGCCAACATCAAGAAAACATGCGTTTATACATCTACTCCTCCACTTGTCTTCATGGCGTAATGTTTAATTAGTTAAGCACAGGGACAATTTTACCTTCACCTTTTACATCTTTGGTAGGGCCCAAGCTTCACATCAATATAGTAAAGTAAAAACAGCTACAAGGTGGTTCAAATATGACCAGGACTGATTTTTTTTAAACCAAAATTGCCAAACACTTACTTGCACATGTCAGTCTTCAACGTACTCCCCTCCGGAGTCAACACATTTTTTCCAACTTTCTGGAAACATCCTGATGCCCTTTACAAAAAAGGATTATGGTTGGCGGCGTATCCCCTCCCGAACACTCTGGATGACGGCGTCGTCCACAAACCGCATGCCTTGCAAGTCTGATTTGAGCCTTCCGAACAGGTAGAAATCACTTGGGGCCAAATCGGTACTGTACGGCAGATGTGTCAGAAGGTTCCATTTCAATTTCTGGATGGTTTTCATTGTTGTTTTGGCCGTGTGGGGGCGTGCATTGTCTTGAAGGAAGGCTACCCGCTTTCCACTTGTCCTCCACGTAGATCGGATCTTTTCCTTCATGTCTGTTGCCAGGAGGTCTGAGTAATAAGCTGCATTGACTGTTCTGGCATCTGTCAGAAAGTCTACATGGATAACCCCCTGCCAGTCCCAGAAGAACGTTGCCATCACTTTTCCTGCCAAACGGCTTCTCCGCATAACTCCCTGCATACATCCTATCCTATGTACACTGTCTATTTACATTAATATTTACATTAAGAAAAAGGGCCTGCTTTGGCCTGTTTACATGACACTTCTCGCTAAGTTCTTTCTACTTTCTTTGTCGGTGGGGGAGGTACCTTGAAACTGTACTCCTTTCATCGCCTGTCACTCTCTATTCATTTCTACCCTATTCTACCCTGGCTCTCGCTGGGTACACTGGAGACAGCACTTAAGATCACACAACAACACTTTTCTCAACACTAAGTTTTAACAGCATGGCGTATATGAGCAAAGAGACTTACTTGTAATACAAATGTAGATTACTGTCGCCATCCACCATCTTGTGGCACACATGTCGACTAGCGCCTCCGGCTGACAACTCAATATTCTGTGTTAGATCAGAATCCCAAGTCCCTCAAAATTCAGTAATTTATAGTTTTAATTTGCTAATTCAGCTGTTGACGACAGAGGGTAGTTAACTCCTCCTCAGTGTCCTCAATTCCCAAAGTAATATTCTAATTGGTTATTATTGGTGGTTGTGGGCAGGCCCATGGCGTCTCATCGCTGTTTATGCGGTAATATTACGACACTCCAGTGGCCTAGTGAGGCAAGCTTCTTGCTAGTGCGGTTACGCATAAATGCTGATCATCAACATTCTTAGCCTAGTTCCTGCCCAGGTGTTGACAGATTACTGTAATAGCTGTGAAACACTTTTCGCAAGTCTCGAACATTTGGGTAATGCCTTACAATCTCCAATCTCAATTTTGAGCCTCTACACGGGACGTTTTCTCCAACGAGGAATTTGATCACAATGCGTTGTTCCACGCTCCGCGGTACCTTCTGTTCACTCATCACTCTAGCAACTTCCAGACAGGACTGAACAGGTTCTAACCCTAACAGGAGGGAGGTTGGAGGTTGTGGCTTCACTCTCTCGGGGTCGCACAGCTGCTGTGCACTGTGGCTTGTTTACAAAAAAATCAGTCCCGGTCATATTTGAACCACCTAGTAGTACTTCCAGAACCTAATTTGGTCTTCAGTAGTAAAATTAAAATAAATGATTTAATCATAGTAAAGTAAAGTAAAGCTCTCCTTGTAGGCAATCGGCTCAAAGATGGTGGTAAGGTAATTTAATCATATAGTTTAATTTTTATTTTGTTTGCTTATTATGCTTGCTGGAAGTTGCAAGTTGCAGAGTTTATGACTAGAAATATTAGTAACATATTCGCTTAATTCTTTGCAGTTTTGCAGATCCTCTATATCCACTGGGAAGAGGCATATATATTGTAACGTGTTTCGTTACAGAAGACGCCGTAGAGATGGTTAAGTGGTTTATTTAACAATCTACGACAACGGCTACAATTAATGATAACAATGTTACGGGTTTCCACACTTTACAAACCCTAGAACAAAATCTCTTAACACTATCTTCAAGAGTCTTCACGTACTAATAATGCGGGAGCTATACAAGTCTCCTTGAATTACACACTCCAGATATCACTGGTTATCGCACACGCGGCTGTAGCTCGTAACTTGCGAACTGAGAAGTCGTTGATAACGCACTCGGCGACTGTCACAGTACAACTGACTGTGAATAGCCTTCGCTGCTCCTTATGTAGCCTC